CAGTGTTCGAATTATTGAAATAAGAAATCCCTAAGTTCATTGTAATTTAAGACATTTGCATAATTTGTTTTGACGTTATTCAAATTATTAATATTTTAAAGCCTAGTTACATTTTACTACCACGTGGTTTAAATTACTGAATTTACTTGTGTACGCGATATTATTAAAAACAAACAAGAGCATGTGAGTAAATGCATAATATATCTGTTTGTATGCTGCCTAATGTTTGGCCGGACACAGTGAAACTACATTTATTTTGTACATGTAAACTTCTATACAAATAAATGATTTATCTACATGATATTGTCCGGATTCTTATATTTTTCTATTCATTTAGATATAATTTTGATATATAAAATGGCAACACTGTATGGTAATATTTTCCCGCGTTTTAAATTCCGATTAAAAAAATAAGAAGGGATAATTGGGCGGTTTTTCAGTTTAGAGGACACTGATCTAATGGTCTAGTAGACTAGACTTTACTTTGAGTGTGCCTTCTTTTTCTTGTCGAGTCAATGACAAAAACCAGTAAAATACCAAAAAAGTTGTTATGTATAAGTAGTGTTATGTAATTTCTTGAGCCAAAGAACAAGAACAAGTAGGGGCATAGAGCTGGCTGCTTACTTCTTATAAGCAGCCAGCTCTATGCCCCTACTTGTTGCCTTTAGCAGGTCTTCGCAGGGTGCAGCTGGTCAGACACAGTGGGCACAAGAGCAACTGAGACATACTTTGTGCGTGGGAACCGCAAGCGCAATGGTTTTGAGTCAGGTTGATATATACCCATTTCATCATGTTGTCTCTACATCGTCCAACGGTTCAGTGATTTCCACATTGACCACTGTAATTCTTGTATGCCTAACGATCAATGATTTTGGTGGCATTTTAAAGTTACGTCTTCATACAAATAAATTGGAGTTGCTTGTTGTTTTTTAATTTAGGACTAAATTTAAAGCTATGACTATTGTCTGAGAGACGTGCGTACCTGGGCGTAGGCGGCGGCAGTCTGGGCGTGGTGGGCCTCCGCTTGCGCGCCACTTGCTCGGCCAGCTGCAGCGCGATGCGCTCGCGCGCGCCGCCCTCCAGCATGCGGTACGCCGCGCCTGCGCCCACGCTGTCGGCACGACCAATTCCGTTACAAACTTGCCGTTACTGGCCAATTACTCGTCGGAAAAGACAAGCAGGCAACTAATTTTTCAGGTAAATTTTATCTCCTTAATTTCGGTGTCAATTTTTATTATTTAAATATCTATTTAGAATACTATCATGAAGTATTACTTAATATTCGAGTGTAGTAGTAGTAGCATCTTGAAATATTATTTGTGATATAAAAACTGCCACCAAAATTAGATAGAGAAAACGAACCTGAAAAATTATCCAAATACACTATTGCAATTCTTTTTTGCTTCTTAAATTACTATTATTATAAGGATCTTATAAAAATAATAATTGATTTTATAATAAGGCTGTTTCTTTATTTTTTTATATATTATTTCTCTCGTGAGGTAGGGTGTAAGTTGTGGTTGTATAAGTGTGTGTCCATGGCATCCGCGATACAGAGTTTACCTAGTGCGAGACTTTAACTATTATTATATTTTTGTTTGTTAATTTGTTTAATTCAATTTCAAAAGACTTACGCTGGTAACGGCGTATCTCCACCATCCAACCGGAACGGCGTGCCCTCGATCTCTCCCCAGGTCATGAGTGGCGATTGGTCGGGCCCGTCGCCTGGTCGCGGCGACGGTGTGGCCACAAACGAATATTGCCCGCTGCCTGGCTTATCTGATGATATGCTCATGCCGTCGACACCGATTTTTCCAGACACGCTAGCATCCTAAGAATATTTCGTTACAGGTTAATTTTATTATTAACTTCTTCCTTATTATCCTTAAAAACTACGAAAGAACAATTTTAGTATGATTCCAAACCCACCAAAAATATGCCCTAATTTGATATTCCATACCCAATCAAGGTTTAATTTGTTTGTGTTATTAATTTTATGTGGAAGAAAGGTGGGAAAATTAACTGCATGTAAACAAAATCAATACAAGCAAAGGTATATCGAGTTCTTAGGTTTTCGCGATTGTTACACATAGGAAATGAAACTATTTTTCCAGATTTAAATCGCTGATTGCTGATTGGCTGACTGACTGAGTCAACCGTGACCATGAGACCTGTAAAGGGCCCGAAACGTCGGTTTGTTTGAAAAAACAAATATACGCGATTTAAATCCGTAAAAGTAGTTTCATTTCCTACAAGCAAAGGTATTTTTCACAATTTAATCTTTACTGGGTTTACAGAATAGCAAATTATTTTTTTTAATTTTTATAGACATGGTTTCCTCCGAAGCTACATCAGAGTATATTAATTAGAACAATTTTACTTTCTGTACAGTTTTCCATCAATTTACATGATTTTTAATATATTAAAAACTGTAAAAAATGTACCTGTGATCGTGCGATAGCGCTTATGGTTTGCTGGTACTGCTGGTGATCGAACGGGGGCTCTCGTAGTCTTGTGTTATGATGGACGAGGGTTGGTTTGATGGGCGGTTGTTGTCCTGCGCCTTCAGGGACGTACATTATATAGTTCCGAGCTTTGTACCGCCACGTGCCCACCTACCGCAAAATAAAATCAAGGTTTCAAGTAGTGCTGTGAAGATTATGTGTATGTGTTTGGTATTATGATTTATCTGTTTGGATTCTATTAATAAGTTTTTTAATGTATTGTTTTTCTAATGGTTTTCTTCAGCTACTTTCACAGTTTAATGACATACGGCATTTTGCTTTGGGGGCAATGCCGCCGATATTAAGAGAATCTTTGTCCTGCAGAAACGTGCGGTTAGGGCAATTAACAATCTGGGCCTCAGAGTGTCTATGAGAGACAAGTTTAGTGATTAACATTCTTACACTAATGCCACAGTACATTTATGAAAATGTATGTTAAGAAAAATATATTTTTTTATGAAAAACAGTGATAGACATAACATTAATAAGAGGAATAAAAATAAAGTAGCTATTGTTGAGAGTCATTTAAGTCATTTAAGGGGCAATGTATATGCTTCTATAATAAGACACCGATTGATATTCAAAATTTGCCATTTACGAGGTTTAAAATAATTGAGAAATAAAAACTTTTTTTATACAACTTCTGCATACTTGTGAAAAGCGCCAGAAAGCGTTTGTACAAATCTTTATATTCGTGTAATAGCCAGGGTTTCAATGGCGGCATCATTACATCCGGGTTTATGGCTTCATTTTTGGTCGAAAAACTATTGCAGCAAATTTTTGATAATTCTTTAGCTTCGACTATTGTATTATATGTTTTGTATTATAACTTGGTAAAGAATCAAAAATAAGATTTTAGTAAATGGAATTTGGAACAGCTCTGACTGTTGTGGCGGTTGAGCTGGGAGTGACCGTGGTACGAAAACAAAATGAGAAAATGAAGGAAGATGGAACAATTCAAATCAAAAAAATAATCAGTTTTCAAATGTAATTTGCTTACCTATGAAACAAAGATTATTTGACTTTGAATGATGCTGAAATGTTCAATAATGATTAAAACCCTAAATATATAAAGAGAAAAAAAATTTTTGATTACCACACAAGTATTTGGTATTGATTCTGTCCCTGCACTTTGCATAGTGTACAGGTGGTTTAAAAATAAAAATAAACTATTATGTTGGAGAGAATTAATACAACAAAGAAATATTCATTCAAAAAGGTATTTCTAAACACTAGACTGTTCTAAAAGTAATTTTTATTGCTACAATACCTCTTCTGATCTTTCCATTTGGTCAGCCTGTTGTTCAATAGACGGCAGCGCGAGAGCCGCGTCGGCCTGCAACGCCGATGTAATTTCAGATTGGAACTGTGACGCTAGCTTGGTTGCTCGTTTCTTGTCTTCTAATGCTATCACACGGTCATAGCTTGCATTATCTTCGCTAGTGTGAGTGGATAGGAACGAATCTGTTGAATATTTTAAATTTAAAGATTAGTAAATTTTCATACATATATGTATATGTAACAAACCCACTCTATTTGTATAATATTTTTAGAGTTGGTTCTGAAAATCTTCATTGTGTATAGCAGCAAATATTAATATTCCTCTAGTTTGTGTCATCAAATTATATATGGGTGTGGGATGTACAAAAATATTTAGTAAAGATTTGGCTCCTTATTTTATATAAGGAGCATGAAATTGTCTTCATGATATAGTAGCATCTTCATGAAATAGTGTACGTCCCACTGCTGGGTTATACTTAAAGTTTGATTGAAACATACATTTGTAAAAGTAGTATTTTATGCACATTTGTGCAAGTATCACATGTTTAGTATTTATGTTTATAACCAATTTTATTTGTGATAATTGTGAACAATCATAAAAAAAATACATACCTAATGTATGATTATCAATTAAATCCTTTGGCTTTTCCCTAGAACTGTCCACAGTTTCCGATCTATTCTCCCTCGCAGTGGAGGTACTGGGGGAATACGGTCTGTCCATTTCTGGAGTATCAAATGTAGCTGGAGAATTGTCTGTAATAACAATATTCGGAGTTTTAAATATTTTGTAAAATATGTACAAAGCAAGGATGGCTTCAGTTATCAGTGGTTTAACAACCTTGATGGCCAGAAGGTTTATGTTATGGGCACTGGACGAGGTCAATCTGGCATTCACAGAACAGGAAACTCTCTAATTAAAGACCAGGTAATTTGTGTGGCTGTTTGGTGCATTATTATTATTATAACAGCCTAACTCCAAAGTTAGCCTGCTGTTTAAACTGATGGAAAATTTAATATATTTCAAAACCATGTTCAGTTTCTAATAACAGATTTTTTAATGTATTGTTTTTCTAATTGTATTTTTCACATACTTTCACGGTTTAATGATATTTAAACTGTGAAAGTAGCTGCATTTTGCTTTAGAGTAACGCCCACAATACCAATGTCAACAGCTCATTAAGTTATACACTTTTGTTCGAATGTCTCCTCTAGTGCAACAGACCTAGGTCTGTCAATGTGTAGCTTGATGTGCTGCTGTCACAACATTAATTGTTTTCAGAATAGGGTTTGACATTTCAAACTTAATCTCAGGTATTTTTTTTTAAATTAAGTGGATAACCACCACCTCATAAGATATTGGAGTGAAGCAGATTTGCTATATGAGCTAAGATGATGAAAGATTACATAGATTGAATTTAAATTGATTTTATAATACATTTATTTATTCATTTATTGCATTATCATACTTACATTTATTGAACTATGTAAATTTCAATCTATAAATTAGCACTTGAGTAAAACATACTTACAAGGCTCCGTAGGTGGTCTTCTTCCACTATACTTTCTAGTTATCTCCTGTAGCCTAGCATAGTCTTTATTCTCTGTGGCTTTCAGGAACTCATTCTGGGCTTGCAATTTCTCCAAATCAGGGAAGAAATCTCTTTGGATTATCTTCGCTATACCCTGAAAACAAAGATAACTCATTCTTAAAAAAGAACAATAGAGATGTGCAATATTCTGATGATAATGGAGAATTTATTCAAATTCAAAGAATTGTAGAATGGGAGAAAAATTCGAGGCTCCATCCAAATAAACGATGATTTCGCCAATGTCAAGTAAAAATGGCTGTGTGCGGCAGTTTTGTATAAATATGACTTCTACTGGAATGTTTATAAAAACTTTAAAACATATGTTTCTTTTCTGTTAATTGATTTGGCTATTATGTCAACAAAACAAACTAGGCGCATATTGGTATTCATAAAATAAAAAATATATATTTAAACATGTTAAAACGTATGGCTTACTTCTACGTAAACATCTTCGTCAAGAACTTGAGCCTTTTTCTTCAGCTTTTTCTTGGGTACTTTTGGAACTTTAAATACACTACTTTCCTTTTTTAAAAATTTCATGTTTTGTAACGCTGCTTCTCCAGGTCTGGAGGGTCGATTTTCAT